GGAGATCAGGTTAGTCAAGCACAACCTGCTTTTCAGAAACCTGAAACAACATCCACAGCCTTTCCCTCATCTACTAAGCGGGTCACCGTGTTGTAGAGGAGATCAGGTTAGTCAAGCACAACCTGCTTTTCAGAAACCTATGCTGACTGGGCCCGATCACCTGGTTGTCCTGTATAATTTTTTTTTTCCCCCACGCAAAGGTCATTCATACCTTTTTTCTGTTTCTGCATCATGGTTTGCTGCTCGGGGAGGCTCTCTAAGCAGAGATTTCAGCGACCTGAATTGCTGAGTAGTACTCTCATCAAGAACTAGGAAAACAGGCACAGTGAGGGAGTCAAGTTCCACAAGAGCATTACCATGAGGAGACGCAAAAAAATTCTCATACTGTAGTACGCACATGCTACTTAGAGTGTGAGAAATCATTTTCAAAAGAGAGAAGCATGCCAAAAGGTTTTTTGAGAACAACTGATCTTGTTGCTCTATAAGCATCAGTTTTAAAGTTTGTAATGTCAGCTTTGCCATGTGTCCCATCAGACTGGCTCTCGAATGCCAATACAGGACAGTTAAATACTGCTGAAAATATTTTAGGATACAATGCATCCAGTGAGTATTCTTCACAGACTTGTTTAAAGATGCATCCTGGTTTAGGACAGAACATTTCACAAACTGAACAATGTTGAAAAAATGGATAATGCAGTTGACTGTGTAATTCAGCAATGTATCTTTCTCTTCAATGTTTTTTGAAATCCCTATCTGCCATGAAGCAAGGAGGTTTTTCTGAATGGAATATAGTTCTACTGATAATTTATCTTTCTCTTCAGTATTGTCTTCTGCATGGATAGTATCAAACATCGACGCAAAATCTAAGTGGCCTTGATCAGCTTTACCAACAAATGAATGGATTCTTTGGCTATAGAAGCTGGAAGGGCTATTGCAAAAGTGCTTTTCGTCATCTGATTCTTCTTCATAATCCTAAATCAGACAAAAAAAATCCAACAGTTTAAATCAAGTCTATTGAGAGCGAGCATAGTCTGCAGGAAATCACGATTCAGTCAGTCTCAGAAATGAAATCTTTACGCTTAACTAACTTGCTTAACTGCTAATAATTTTAATTCACAGCAGTTTCAACTAGATCTCAAACTAAACATTGGTATTTGGAACAGTTGTGCAGAAATTAAATTACCTAACAACAAAAAATATCACACTGTAAACAGAGCAGTAGTTTTTATACCCAAAGGTGAAACCTTGTCCTTTATTAAGCCCAGAGTATGAGGAAGTGTTTTTGCTAGATACCTGTAAGACATAAAAGCAACTCAACAAAAGCTCAAAAACTTCAAAGAACAAATCAAAAACCAATAGCATGAAATGGAGTTGGGAAAGGTTGCACAGTAACTTTGATCACAGAGCCATTCTTCCAAAAGATACGTATAAATTTCGGAATTGATGGAAGAATCCTCTAAAATTGAGCATAAGTATCTTATTTACTAAGGATAATAATATTGTACTTCTTATTAATATACAACTCCAGTATATTTAGTAGTGTAATGTTAAATTTTATAATAAAGGGAAGTTAAAGTATTAAACTACAATAAACTGATGATTATGTAGATTAGTAAGTATTTTTCAAAAAGTTCATGCACTGCTGGAAGAAATAAGATGTTTGAAAAGTATCAGTTCTGAAAACTAACTATAGACCTTACAGCTATGAAGAAAATGAGAATTTAACCCATATTGAATTACTTTAAATATATCTAGTAAGAGCAAATATACCTATATTATTTGAAAAAAATTATTCACATTTAGAATACCTTAAAAGTAAATCATTTGCATAATAATAAGTGCAAAACTACTATTATTAGTAAATCCACAGTTTTCTCACTCACTTCCGTTGTGTCCTCTTCCAGGAATTTCGGAATGGTGGAAAAGATGGAACTTTGGTTTTGAGCGTGTTTTAAAAGACTAGCTTTTAAAGACAACAGTGATCGTAAACACACAGGTCTCCCTTTAGACTAGAAGAAATAACAGTAACACAAAACTTATTATCTGTCTCTAGCAAGATCAAACCAGATAATTTCTAAACAAAACACAGAAATTGGTCCCTTCTGTAAAAACCTTCAGTTTAAAAGTCCCAGACAGAAAGGGAGAACAGGTTAGCAGGCATATGTTGCATAGAAACAAACTATAGTTTGATGATGCTTCAGGAACACAGAATTTTCTCAGCACTAGACAACTTCATTTTGCTTCATGCTGAATCTGCTTTCTTGATCCCTGAAATGATCCTACAAGTTTATGCACATGTAGGGCTTTCTTGTACTCTTACTAGTAACGTGTCTCTTTAAATCCTCAAATCCTTCCCCACACTTCTAGCTTATGCATGAATACCATCATAACTCACTTCTCCAAAAACCCAAAATACACACTGAATTGGAAGTGAAGTTGTATTCCATCAGCAAACACAAAAATTCTGAACTTAGTATTATATCTTACGTGGTTGGCAACAGTTGTAGTACCTCTTCCTTCAAAGGTGTCCCTTCTCCCAGACTTAGCTCAATTTAGAAGTGACAGAAAAATAAACAAAAATCCTTTAAGCTAGCTTTAACTGACAACCTCCATTGAGGACCTACTGGACACCTGCACATAGCACCACTGGGACTGCTGCTGACTGCTCTAAAACAGCAGCAGCCTATGATAGGGAGGTTTTACAGAATACTTTCTGCATCGTTCTGAAAGAATGCATTGGTCAGAGTACCATAATACCTGTCAATGCTCTGAACCAACTCCATAGGTACAGAAATCTCAACGCCTTCTACAGTTCCAGAAAGAATATATAGTGAGAGTTAAGACTGTTCTCTTTACAATATTTTACTCAAATGTCACCCAGACATCAAAGGAATAAAATTTCAGAGAAAATTGTGTATTCATTGTTTTCCAGATCAACACAATTCTCAAAACTTTATAATTCAAAGGAATTTATACAAATATCACAGTAAACCAAACTGAGGTACTCAGTTTAAAATTCATGCATTTTTATATACATGACGTTTTTTTACTTAAAGCCGACAAAATAATTCATAACCCTACCTTGGAGTTCAGCAAATTCCGACGGATATTTTCGAGCCGCTGGGTCGAATCAAGCAAAAGAGATCTTATAAATCCTGATGGCGAAAGGTTGTTATGAAATCTAAGCAGTGTTATCATGTATCCATCAGAGACGATAAGGTAGGGTAATCTTGAATGTGAAGCAACAGAGAATCTCTGTCTTGTAAGATCACTTTCAGAAGCTGAAGAACCAAGAGAGTGACTAGAGTCTTGACAAAAAGAGTGCTGGTGTCTAAAATAAAGATACATCAAAAAATAAGAAGCAACTATCACATGTAATAATCATGAACAGAATAGAGAAGAAAACCTATGAACATTTAATACCACTCACTCTATTGTCCCAATAGGTCTCTTCGGAATTCTTAAGGAAACGTCTAAATTTTTGCACGATGAGCACTCTGGGTAACACTATTTATGCTTGCAAGATACCAGTATTCAATTTATACCAAAAAGGGTTATCTGAGATCCTTCTATTCCCCCATGCACCCAGCAGCATCATTTCAAAACTTAGATCTGGAGTACCTCAAAAAAGCATTAAAAAAGCTAACTAGTTTTTGTCCATGCAAATATGTTATTTACAAGATCTGGTAAGGAAACATGTTATAAAGTTCCATAGGTAAAATTAAAATCGTGAGGAGAGAAACACCACTGGATTAAAATAAATCCGCATTTTTAGTACTTCTGTAAGTTTAGCTTCTGGTTACATCATAAAAACATGCTATTTTTAATTACTATTAAATTCAAACACTTAAAAAAAAACAATAGAAAAGAACTATGAATGAAAAACAGGTACTGAGAAGACACACAAAAAAAGTAAGAGTGAATTTGAAAGATGAAGTTTATGTAAAATTGTAAAGAATATGTTAGAAAGTAAGATATGATCCTATGACAAAAACATATAAACATTTTCAAGCCCTTTTACCTGTATGTTATTAGTGGATGAAAAGGAATAAACTCTGCTGGTCCAAATTCTACAGAGCAGCCAGAAGTAATCAAGGTCAGCAATTCACCCATACATGTAAATAAAATCAAAGATCCACGTTTTAACATGCAAGCCAAGAAAAGGTTATCAGGAGTCCAACTCATATCACCAACCCAGTAAGATCTAAATTGGGCAGGAAAAAATATTTTTCTTTGTCAAATTTCTGTATGAAAAGGTTAGGATAATTAAAAAAAAAAAGACACAACAAACCAACCCACAGCACAAAACCAAAAAATCCACAACAGCAGCAGAAACATCAATTACTGACCTGATAAACTTGGATGGGACCATGCTATTCTTGCTACTACAACCTTTAAGGCTACCCGAAACAGTTACAAAATTCAGTGTGTTTAAAAACAAAATCTGAGTTGCCTAGAAAGAAAATGTAAAGAAAACATAAATGTTCGTATCAAAATGTTATCATTGTAAGAAACAATTTCTATTCGCAAGTTATGCATTCCATTTGATGTACTGGAAAAATTATAATACATGAAAGTGACATTGCACTTCAATATTTATTACTATTTAGAATATTTTTAATTTCTGTATCTATTTCTACATTTGAAAAATAATTAAAGATTACTATATACTCAATATATAATTTGACATTCTTTTTAACATAACTTTTTCTAAAACCTTCAAAATAATGTAAGACCACTCTTCTCCAGTCTTGTTGGTCAGTAACAACTGGAGCTTTGAAGGACTGCATCATCTCTTCCTGGTACACTAAATAAGCTGGTCCATATTCCCTGTCATCATTAGCACTAAAAACTACATTAAGATTTGACCTCTGAGTTGTTAGAAGGAATAACATTATGAAGTGGGAACATAACCTCCAATACATTAGGCTGAGGCCTGATGGAGAATCATCCAGAATCTTTGCAGATACAATGCAGTAACTGAAATTAATTTCTAATCTTCAGGAAATACAATAATAAAGAAATGACAGAGGAGCTTACATGGATTTCTTAATTGAACAACAGCATTAAAAAAAAATTGCAAGTTGTAGCAGAATTTCTAGCTATGGATATCAATGTGAACATAATCACATGCATCGATAAGAATGCTAGAAAATAACTCTTAAAAACGTGTTCTTAAATTCTTGTTACCACTTCATTCAAACTGAACTATTAGCTTAAATGACGTATTGTCTATCACTCATACCTTTGGATCAGTTTGATTAACAGCTACCGCAAGTAGAAGTCCGTCTCCTGCAAATGCACATAGCAAAGCTCCTCTTGACTTTACAGACACACACTGAGGAACCAAATTAACAAGAGAACAAGTCTGCTGTACCCAGTGGATCTGGTATGGCAAAGAACTGAATACCAAAAAAAAAGACAACAAAACCAAGGGGTTACTCAGTTATGCTGAACAGGATGATTCATATACAGTAAAATATGACACAAGACAAAAATACATAAAGCATGAACAATAAAAAAAATATTTTTCTTCAAAAGCCTTACAAATGAAAAAGATTTTGTATTTACACAGATTTAAAAGTTATGTCTGAGCAGTATGAATTATTTTTATGGGACAGGAATGGGGGCTATAGATATAGAATATGCAAATAAATAGAGATGCATGCTGTATCATTAAGGCACTTGCATTCTAGCCAGGAACAGCTTCCTCAGACAGTACAATGTCATTCAACATAGGAATACTCAGAATTTGAAAATTAACAGTATACTGCTCTGAACAAAGAAGTGTTCAAAGTCAGATTGCATTGGGCTTCCAGTAACCTGATCTATCCAAAGTTATTCCTGCCCATGGCAGGGGGGTTGGACTAGACGATGTTCAAAGGCCCCTCTGAACACAAATCATTCTATACCACTAAAAAGAGTCAAAACATGATAGAAAATGCAAGAAAGATTCCATTTGGAAGCATGCTACCTAATAGACAAAAAAATGAAGTATTAACATGAAAAAAATCAATTAAACAACAGTAAGCAATGAAATTGAGCAATAGTTGGCATAAAGATATCATGAGTAACATTGCTGAGAAATGTGGTTACAATTTCAGGTTGCAAGTACTATGGTATACTATATAGTATATACTATATAGTATATACTAGTATATACACTATAAGCACTTCTACACTGGGAATGTTATGCTCTATTTCATTTCTTGTATTACCAGAAGGGCATTGCCATGCTACTGACAAAATCAGTGAAGAGTATTGGCGCGTAGTAGGGCAAGGAGGACATCATTACTAAGTTAATATCAAAAGGGCATCATTTAACAAAAGTAGTTGTACCGTGCAGGCGTAGGGCAAAATTTTAGCAAGTTACACCTGCAGAGAACATATCCATTTAAACACATACATATGTGTATCTCACTTGGGAAGAGGAAGGAACTATAGGTGTAATCAAGGTTATTATTCAATTGCGTTTTTAAGTGGTTGTGCCAGTGTCAGCACATGGTCCCAGTCCAGATTAAGAAACATGCACACACGCACACTCTTACATAGTCTAGGCATAAGAGATGAAAAGGGGATCAGAAAACAAATAAAATACACAAATATGCATAAGAAAGAAGACAAAGAGGTATTCAGAGCATTCATGGCTGCACAGTAGGCACTAGTAACATATGAAAAACAAGAAAGGGAAACTCTATTAGTGTGATGCAAAAAACTCCCTGACACTAATACACATGTGTGTGCAGGCATGTATATATCTACATAGCCACTCACAAGCAGTGATAAATACACTCAGTTTTATTAAGGTGTAAGTTAATATGAAGTATGGAATACATATCTAAATGCTGTTAGGTTAACCACACTGAAATACTTGAAATTGACTCTATATGGATCATATATATTGTCCATATATGCACACATAAAGTAGCACACTATGAACATACATATGCAAACGTAAGTAGGTGCTTGTAACCACAGGCTAATCGGACACCAATGTAAATGTGTTAATTGCAGCTCTGAATCCCAGCTCTAAAGCACTTCATAATAAAAATCTTCCTCCAGCTAATGTAACTTCAAGTATCTTTGAACTTACCTAACGTATTTAAAGCTATTTTCATGCCATCGAAGAATCAAAAATGTGAGGACCAAACATTCTCCAGAGTAAAACACAAAGGAGTACAAACAGCAATCACCCAGTGTCTGTGGAAAAAAAAATAAAAAGCGCAACCAAATCAGAACAAATCCAAAAGCCTGATTACACACAATTTTCTCTTTAATTATATATTTAGATCAATAGCTATTACAATTCAGGTTAAACAACACAATGTTGTCATTCAGAAATATAAACGCTGGCAAGAATATTACTGGGCCAGATAAACTTAAATCTGACCCAGTAGGGTTGTTTTTACATTGTCATTAACTTTAATAAGAACTGAACAATTAAGCCTACACACACCACCAAAGAGGCAGACGTTGCTCTCAAAATTCACTGTAGCTTCTCTGGCTCTAATTTACTTAAAAGATCAAATGATTGCTTTAGGGCTTATTTTTTTACCTCGTTTTGTATGAAAGCAGCATGCACTCCAATTTCTTTTTCTTCAGTAGAAGGCAACATGACCGACTCATCAGGCAAAATTTGTGTCCAGCGCCCACAAGAATTTTTATAAGAGGAAGTATTTTCATTTTCTGTGCTCTCCCACAAAAAGACACATGCTGCAGGAGTAGCTAATAGTGCCTTTCTGCCATCTCCAGATACATACAAGTACAATCTCATTAAACATTCTGGGAAAAAAAAGAACAAACACAACCATGTGCCAGAACAGCTTCTGCTCCTCTGTTAGATTTAGATTTAAAAAGAATAAAGAAAGAAAATTTCTCTTCTGCTCTATCGTAAGAAATCTAAGCTGCTATCTTAAGTATCTTTCATTTCCAGCTTCATCACTGATAGTAGACCTTGGTCAGCAGTAATGTCAGATGGTATGACAATTTTATGCATTTTATGAATTATCTTTCCCACAAGACTCAACCATCAGAGTTGTTTCCTGAGATCATCTTTCTTGAAATCCATCTTTCATAGAAACTATTAACAAATGTGTAAGTGCTCTACTATCTACTATGTTCAGCTCCTAAATGCACTACTGATCTTCCCTGAAATGACAGAATTGCTTGTACAGCATTTCACTTTACAACCTGGTATCAGTGAGATTATTCAATACATGACATTATTTGATATTTAAGTTTGCCAATACGTGCCTTTACATTATTGTCTCCAGTTAGTATTTGTCATAAAAACCTACCTACAGAATAAACTTCAAATTACACATATAGGGTTTACATCAGATGTATGTCTGCTCCAAGGTATTGATAACCTAGTAAGGAATGGTTTTTCCACAATTAAAAACTAACCATTAAAAAATATTTACAGTATTTAAAAATTAATTACTCTTTACAGGAGACTAAATGCAAACAACTGTATCATTCAAGTGACAAAAAGGACATTTGTCAACGCTTACCTAGCACACAAATCATACAAATGCAAACCAATGTCAGAATACAGATTTTACTTGTGCAATAACACTTAACAAAAGGAAAACCACTTTCACTATATTCATTTTTTAAAAGATTAATCGAAAAAAACCTACCTTGTGCTGCTGCAACTACTTTCCTAGACTCTTCGATTGCTGGCACAGTTTTCAAGCAGTCCTGATCTTTATTCCAAAGAAATAGCTCTCCTGTTGTAAGTATTCCTGCCAACCAAGCACCTGTGTTCATCGAGGGAGAGATGTTTTGAAGGATATTATTGTGAAGTACTTAAAATTACTTCCCTTCCATCTGAGCCACAGTTTTAAAGCTGACAGTGAAGTCACAGACCCTTTACATATTCTACTTTTCTAAAGTGTTACAACTACAAATAAAATAACATGAGTTTATAATAAATATTACACTTAACCATTTGTTGATGTTGTTAAAACAACTACAGTTTTCAACAATGACTGCAGCCGAGGGATTTTCTTCTTTGTCTTCCCTGATGCCAGGTTAATTTCATTTATATGTTTATCATCTAGAAGAAAAATAGCCTCTTTTTCCTGTTGAGAGAAAAAAAGATAATTTCATTTTTTTAATGGCTTTAAATGGTTACCTACTTAAATTCAAATCATATATTAGAAGAGAAGAAAAAAAATATTAGTTTAATATTATCAAAAAAGCTTAAGAAAGCACATCTTTCAACAGATCCGGGATGGAATGGGAAAAAACTTTTTGTTCATTATTTCTAACAACATAGTGTAAAGAAGGTTATGAAAAACTAGAACAATCAAAACAACAATCTCATAAGGAACGGGTCTTCTGGGGGAAGGGAAAAAAAAAAAAAGACCAAAAACCCCAAAAGTCTCCCCATTGTTTATCTCAGAGATTCTCGATCTTCAGACTCAAGTCAGTAAGATCGAAAACCAAACCATTTATTTGAATAAATGTCAAGTAGCGTACATTCAAATAACTTCCTGAGTCATATTTTTACCCCTCTCCCTGTAAAGAGAAGTGCAAAGTATTATATTATTAAAAAACTACTCTCTGCAGAATTTTACTTAAATAAAAGTTCATTACATTTACCTGTCCAATCCATGAGATGCGAGGCCATGGTTTTCTTTGCTTGATACATGTAGAGATAAGAACATCTAGCTTAATCTCCATTCTTAGTAAACCTCTAGGTAACCATTATAAAGAAAAGCAAATAGCGGCTTTTTCACATATCCATAGAGAATCTGAACTAAGAAAGAGAAAAAAAGACAAGAAGTTTTTATTGTTTGGGGTGTGGGTGCAGAGGATGGGAATCTAGACACAAACTCAACTACAGCAGCTTCCTACTAAACACAAACAACTGACGCTCACCGGTATTTCCAAACTAAACTCGCCATTTTCGTTCACATAGCTCACAGGCTATTTGCAGTTCAGCAGTGCAGATTACATGCTTGTTCCAGAAGACAGAAAGTGTACCTTGCTAAAAGCTTTAGTAAGAACGCAGAATGCGAGGAAAACAATACTGCAACCTACTAAGCGCAAGAAACGAGGAACTCAAGCAAAATACCAGGAGCGGTCCTTGGGCATCGAGGGCCGCCTGCGTTTCAGACCCGAGCCCACGCAGAGGGAGGGGGCAGGAGGAGGGCATGCCCGTCTCGGAGCCACCTCAGGCCGCGGGGTGACAGAAGGCGGTGCGCCCCACCACCGAATGGGATCAGTGCCGGTCGTCGGGCTGCT